AACTAATAATATTATGACTTTAATCTCGTAATATTATGACTTTAATCTCGTAATATTATGACTTTAATCTCGTAATATTACGACTTTAATCTCGTAATATTACGACTTTAATCTCATAAAATTATGACTAATCTCATAAAATTATGACTTTAATCTCGTAATATTAGGACTTTATTCTTGTAAAATTACGACTTTAATCTCATAAAATTATGACTAATCTCATAAAATTATGACTTTAATCTCGAAATATTTTGACTTTATTCTTGTAAAATTACGACTTTAATCTCGTAAAATTATGAATTTATTCTCATAATATCATGACTTTAATCTTGTAATATTATGACATAATTCTCGTAATATTATGACTTTATTCTCATAAAATTGACTTTAATCTCATAATAATAATTTTTAAAAATCGTTGTGTGGCCCTAATACTCCGTCGTACTAAAGCCAGTGAATTCAGTTAGTTTTGTTTGATACGAGGCAGCAGACGTCCGTCACACAGGCGGTCCACTTCAGCCCAGCTGAGTTCTGCTCCGCACCTCATGTGGTTCCTCGCTGCTGGTTTGTTCATGAACGAGTACAGGTGAGCGGGACCTGGCCGGATTCTCCTGTGATTTTATGAATGATCCGAGGGGGATTAGAGCCGGACCGGTCTGTGTGGTGATTTCACAGAGGCCTGTGTGTTGTGTCAAATCTTCTGTGCATGTGGCTCGCATCAGAGCCCAGACCTGCACTGTGAATTTATCTTGATCACCAGTTCTTTCTTATTTGTAGTGTAAATAATAAGTTAATTACTGTAAATTTTATAGGTAAAATCTACATAATGAACAATATTTACTGATAATATTCCTCTTGCCCACTGTGTTTGGGGACAGATTTCAGGAAGTGTCAATCAGTTGGAAGGTTTTGTTGTTTCTATGTGTAAACACTTAGTGATTAATTAATCAAATATACAGTAAGAACAAATGAGTTTTAAATTAGTTTTGTTGTTTTCCACCTTTCGTTTTTCGTCTGGATTTCTTAGATCCATCAGAGAAGGCTAGCCTCCAAATCCTGTCGAAGGAACCCATTGTAGAAGGAAGTAATGTGACACTGAAGTGTCATGGTGATGGAAGTCCTCCACCCAGCTCCTTCTTCTTCTACAAAAAGGTGAGTGACAACCCAGTGTTTCTTTTCAAAACAGATAGTTCTGGAAAGATACTTGCTGAGATCATAGTGAAACTTTTCTCTGGACCTATCAGAGGTGCAGCTTTTACTTTAAACACAGTAGACAGGCCTACTAACCAATCAGAAATCAAGTGGGGGCGGGACTTGGATATTGGCAGAACTTTGATTCAAATCCAGCAGAAGTTGCAGCGGTGTTCGAAATAAAGTTAATTTCTTTGTTAAAACAAATTTGAAAAAGAACTGGAAACAATGTTGAAGCAGATTTTTAAAATAAACTCAGAGAAGAAAAACCAGGATGTTTACTGATTCTCAACAAGAACCGCTTGCAGAGGGTCGCAGGCCAGCTGCGGTCCCTGAAACTCGCTGGTGAGATGGAATCGATCTTGGAGCAGCTCGACTCGGCAGGATTGCCCACACTATTCGTCTGATTGGATTTGCCACATCGGGATGTACCAGTGGACTTTAAGACGGATGGAAAATTATTATTGTCTGCCTGATTGAAAACATTTTCTTGCTTTCTGTATTTGGCTCCACGATTCAGCTGATTATCTCAATTCTCCCTGGTGGCACGCAAACAAGACGCTCCTCATCCACCCCCCCCCCCCCCCCCATCAACACCTGCAGCTTCGGCTTTGGCTCAGTGACAACTGATGGACTTTATTCCATCTCTCAGGATAATGGCAGAATGTTATCCAGGCTGTGGTGTACAGGCTCACATTACATCACATATGAACACACACACACTTCACAAAGACCGCACATCCCCTGACTACACCAGCTCTGCTGGCAAATGTGTTTTTGTGTGTCCCCCGCTCTGTTGCACAGGTCTTTCTCTCTGTGTATTTTTGTTTGTTTGTTTGTTGTAATGGAGATAGTGCTGAAATTCACTTGCCTTCTGGGACTTATAAAGCAAATGTTAGTAACTGACACAGCCATTACTTTTATGCAGTTTAACTTATTACTTAGTATATTATACAGATTACTTAGTTACACTTAAACCAGTTAGACAGTCATCAATGATTAGTACTTAGTAACTAAACCCAGAGGTTAATAAACAGAAAATATGTTATGATGTCTTAGATTATACTGCCTAAATCAGGGGTGCCCAACCAGTCGCTCGCTGATTCCCAGGTGCCTGCGCAGCGCAACCTTGCTGCRGAGCCTCTAGCGCCGGCTTTGARMGTCRCATCCTGAAGTGGCTGGTCTTGTTTGAAAGCTCTGGTTTTGCCCTACAAGATGAAAGTTGAATGAAGTCCCTGTGACATTCCCCCGCGGAGCAATAAGCAAAAAACCTCCAAAATATGCACAGTCGGACCTCCGCCGGGTGTAGTTTTAGCCCCTCTCCCCGGGCTCGGAACATCAGATCCCGGAGTGGCTGGTTGGGTTTTAAAGCTCTGGTTCTGCCCTACAAGCTGATACTTGAATGGAGTCTCTGTGATGTTGCCCCGCGGAGCTATAAGCAAATAACGCACGACTTAGTGCATTTTTTGCGCATTTTTTGGGAGGAAATTTCAACCTTCGTTTGCTTCTCCTGTGGGCTCTGAGCATCAGATCCAGGAAAGTGAGATGACTTTCGAAAGCTACGGTCCTCCTCTACAAACTGGAAGTGGTTGCAAGTTCCTGGGACGTTCCGCCGCAGAGCTATTAACCAACGACCGGCCGAAAAAGGAGCTTTCGAGGGCGATATTGTACTCAATTTACTCCCGAGCCTCTAGCTCTGGCTCTGAGCGTCGGATCTGGGCAGGAGATGGCTCATTTTAAAGCACTGGACCTCCACTACAACGTGGAGGTGGTTGCAAGTTCCTGGGACGTTCCCACGTGGAGATATAAGCGATCAGAAATCGTCGGGCGAGCTCTGGCGGGTGAAACGGCTGATTTCCAGCACAGGGCTGCTTGTGCTGATGCAGGGGAATAAAAGGAAGAGATCCAGTGAGGTGGAACCGTGGTCCTACGTCCAGCACCCACTCTCCTGCCTGGATTTAGCCAGAAACCCCTGGCGGGCGATATTTCTGCAGATCTGATCAGGTGAAACCGGTCCTGGAAGCTCAGCACCGGGTTTTATAACAGCCTGTGAGAGTTTTATATTGTGTGCTTTGATTTTGAAAAAAGAAAAAGGCCGTCACTCTTGTGGTAGCCATGTTGACCCTGATAGATTTTTGTTTTTTTTTTTCTCCCCTGTATGGAGAGAAGAGAGGAGAATTCTTTGAATAAATGGAGACGAGTTCCCGTGCTCCAAAGTTATTTGACTCTGTGGTTCTCAGTGTGCATGTTTTCAGCCCTCGTAGCTCGCACGTTACAGTGAGGACTGATTGAAGGAGGTAAAAAATTTATCCTTTTTGTTCAAGCATCATTTTTATGTTTCTGTCAGGAGTTAAGTAAGGATTTTATCTTTTTTTGTAGGTAAATATATGGTTAAGTAGATAGCTTTGTTTGGCAATACATTAAATTAAATAAAACTAGCAACACATTACGTTCTGTTTTATTTCCTTTAAAGAAGTGAGGAGTAGGGAGACAAAATTATGTTGTTTTGATACTGAGACTGGATGAGTAGATCTCAGCAAACTGCCGACTTCAAAAGTAGCTCTTGGTTCAAAAAAGGTTGGGCATCCCTGGCCTATATGATGGCTTGGATTACACTGACTTTTCACCTACTTACATTTATTTCTGCCTATTTGTGTTATAATGTACTGTCTGTCTTTTTTTTCTTTTATTTGTTAACAAAGAACTTTGGTTGCCTTGCTGCTGAAAAATTCTATATAAATAAATTTAAACCATTATGATTAGGGTTTTAGAACTGCAGGTTGGTGGATACCATGTTTGCCTTGTGGCAAGAAGGTTCAACTCCCGGGGCGTTTTCTCCAGCTACCCTGATTTCTTCCCCTCACTTTAAAGACATGAAAATTAGCTTAACTGCTGACTTCAAGTTGTTGTTTTTACATGTAAGAGTGTGTTTGAATGATTGTGTTCCCTTGTGATGAACTGGAGACCTGTTCAGAGTAGGGTTGGGCAATATTGGCAAAAAATAAATCACGATTAATTGTGGTATTTAGCCGATAACAATTAATTTGAGGATTAATCCCCTGGAGTCCCTGGACACCCATATTTCATATTCACATGACCAATTTAGTGGGAAAGATTTGCTCTTCATAAAAATCTGTTCCAAATTGTGTCAAAATTACAGACTTCAGACTATACATAAATTTTTTAATTGTGTTGATAGATAAATAAGTTACAGAACTTTTTTAATGTTCATCATATTTGAAGCTGAGAGGAGCAGCGAGCGGATTCTACCTGGTGACATTAATCGTATTAATTGTCAAGTGCCAAAAAATAATCGATTAATGTTTTTCTGACAATTAATCACACACGATACGATTATGCCCAACCCTAGTTCAGAGTGATATCCTCTCTAACACAATCTGTTTTTTCTTCTTCAAGGGTGTAAAAGAACTTGTGGAAAATTCAAATACCTACATTTTGACTTCTATCGGAAGAGATGCAGCTGGCGAATACAAATGTTCCCTTGCAGATGACGAGAAAATTATGGCCTCCAAACACATTGTTGTTAACTGTGAGTATTCTGTATTAATTTACTGTTAATGTAAAGGTTAGATCAGATGACTGAATGTTGTAAATTAACATGATAATTTGAAAGATTCAGACACAGTTCACTTCTATTTGGTATAAGCTCCTAAGGCTGTCGCTGATCAGCGACAGCCTTAGGAGCTTATTCGAGTTAGTAGAACTCATTGGATAAATCTTTGTTGTATTTTCTCAGACATTGACCTTACTGTCAGTCTCACTGGAAGAACTGTAAAGAAATTAGGAGATGTGTTGCCTGTGAAGACAGAGATGAACACATCGGGTAACGCTACAGTAACATGGATAAAGGTAATAATGTTGTGTCAGTCAGATGACCAGTGAAAAACAGCAGACGGTATATGCAAATATAACACGGTTTTTCTCATTTTCAGAATGGAGTAAAGGTGAAGGAGCCACAGTTTAACAGTCTGACCTATGCTGATGCAGGAGTTTACATATGTAAAGTTTCCATGAGTGGACTCACTGAACAACGAAGGTTTGAGCTGGTAGTCGAAGGTCAGTTGGTATTTGAGACTACACAATGTTTTATGGTTAAGGCTTGTGAGGTGGACAGAAAAGATTTTAAATGATAAAATTCACCTGTATTTGGGAACCCCCTATTCTTTTCTGTGAAACCAGATATTACCAAAAATATATTCTAAACTGTAGCCTAAATAATGTTATGAACTTTGTTTAAACAGCTACAATTTTTAAAATAAGTTTAAAAAGCTATTCTTACAATTAGGGGTGTAACGAGATCACGTTGTACGAAATCTCGTAATACTAAACTCCCACGATTTCTCTCGTTGAGAGGTAACTGTTGTCTCGCTAACAGTTGCCAACTTAGCAACTTTGTCTCTAGATCTAGCGACTTTTTAGACCCCTCTAGCAGAGCCAACTCTTGGCATAGGCAAACTAGGCGGTCACCTAGAGCGCCATCTGCTGGAGGGGGCGCTGAACTGTAGAAGAAAAAAAAGTAATTATTTGTAATCCCTGGTTGTAACTCTGCTCAGCGCCCCTTTCAGTTAGCTTTGTCTTAAAAAAAACTATAATGAAGTTTTAAAGGAAAAATAAACTACCCATAAAACACCCCCCCATTGCAGCAATCGCCCCCACCCTCTCTCTCATTTGATTGACGTTGCACTGACTCGTCCTGCTCCGACACTCTGACGGTGGTGGGGCTAGTAGTGCCTCTCAGGTAGCGATTCGTGTTGACAAACTCAATAACAACAAGTCTGTATTTTTTTGTCCCATACTGTCATGGTCTGTGTTTATTTTCTTTAACTTTAGTGTTTTCAATGTTCCCCTGTGTTGCTCTGCCCTACAGCCCCGCCCACGCACACCTGATCCCTCTTGTGTCTCCCCAGGTGTTTCCGATTATCTCTTAATTTGTTTGCCTTTATATTTGGTGTCTTGTCCTCAGTCTGGGTTGGTTCATTGTGCTGTTTACCCAGCCAGTGTGGTGTGTTCCTCGTGTTTCCCTGAGAAGTTATCAGTGAGTTTTTGAGCTACTTTTCAGCCCTCTTTTGTTTATTAAACTTTATTTTTCTCTTTGGATTTTTGCGTGCGCCGTGGCTCATTCTGCCTCACACCTCACAGAATGAACAAAACACCCAGCCTGCAGGCAGTTTTTCTTTTTCTGGGCTGCCCCCCTCCAGCTTCCACTGGGGAATGATTGAGCCTACCACCTTCTGTTTTGGGTCGTCTGGGGTCCAGCCATTCACCTTCCTCTCGGGGTCTTCGGCGAGGATCCAGGCTGAGGGCATTTGTGCCCACCCTCCCACCCCTCTTCTTCCTGAGTCGGTGATTCCGGAGGTTCCTGAGTTGGTGGTTCCACAGCTGGTGGTCCCAGTAGTCCCTGAGTTGGAGGTCCTGGAGGTTCCGGAGTCGGTGGTCCCATGGTTGGTGGTCTCTGTGGTTTGGAAGTCGGAGGTCTCGGTGGTCCCTGAGTTGGAGGTCTCGGCGGTCCTGGTGGTTCGAGAGTCGACCGCCATCGCCTCCTCTTCGCTTGGATTGTCACCCGTCGCCTCCTCTTTGCCTGGGTCATCACCCATCACCTCCTCTTTGCCTGGGTCGTCGTCCGTCGCCTCCTCTTTGCCTGGGTCGTCGCCCGTCGCCTCCTCTTTGCCTGGGTCGTCGCCCGTCGCCTCCTCTTTGCCTGGGTCGTCGCCCGTCNCCGTCGCCTCCTCTTTGCCTGGGTCGTCGCCCGTCGCCTCCTCTTTGCCTGGGTCGTCGCCCGTCGCCTCCTCTTTGCCTGGGTCGTCGCCCGTCACCTCCTCTTTGCCTGGGTCATCGCCCGTTGCCTCCTCATCGCCTCTGTCACCTGCGTTCGCCGTCACTGACGTTCTGGCTCCGACAACCTCCGGCGGCTCCTCGTCTGCTCCAGTCTCCTCCATTGGGTCCACCTCCGCTCCCGCCTCCTCCCTTGGGTCCACCCCCGCTCCTGTCTCCTCCCTTGGGTCCGCCCCCGCTCCCGCCTCCTCCCTTGGGTCCACCCCCGTTTTCACAACTCCCTTGGACCTGGGAGGTTTTCTGAGCCGCCCTTCGGATGTTCTGCTCCGTGTGGGGTGGTCCTTTGGCTGTCCCCCTGAACTCTGTGTTTGTCCTTGAGTCTGTGCTGTCGCGTTTTCCCCTGAGTCTCGTCATCTCCTCTTTTCGACATCGGGAGCCGTCGTTGAGGGGAGGGTCCTGTCATGGTCTGTGTTTATTTTCTTTAACTTTCTAGTGTTTTCAATGTTCCCCTGTGTTGCTCTGCCCTACAGCCCCGCCCACGCACACCTGATCCCTCTTGTGTCTCCAAGTTTACCATAGTACCTTACACTGTCAAACTTGTTTTTAGAGGTTAAAATTGGGGCGGGTGAGATATAGTTGGGGGGGGGGGGGTGTTGTGCTTCAACTCGCCTAGGGCACCAAAATGGTTAGAGCCACCACTGCCCTCTAGTGACAAATTTAGTGACTTTTCCCGGTGTTTTTGGAGACTTTTAGAAGCTTTGGTGACAGCCCTTTCCAAGCACTTTTCTCCTTTTCTCCTCCTTTCCTCCGCGAGCAGCGATCCCCCCGTGAGCCCCTCCCCCCTTCCTAAAGCAGTCGGACTAGAGCCCCAGAGAGAGATCTGATAGATGCTCATAAAGGAAAAGTACAATTACTTATTTTGTTTTTTATTTATGTTGACTTTTTGGTAAGTTTAAATGTCATAGAATAAGTAAAGATATAGAGAAAGGGAATAATTACTTATTTTGTTTAATATTTATGGTCAGTTTTTGGAAAGTTCTGCGTGAATGTCATTTTTTTTATGATGTTGGAAGGCCATGTTAAAGCACTGTTCTAATGTCTAAGGAGATTCAAGAAATCAGAAAAGGAAGATATCAGATGAGTTTGTAATAAAAAATGTTAAAACAGAATAAAAGCATTTTTGCAGCATAAAATAGATCTTTAAAGTTTTCTTGAAACTAATATTAAAATCTCGTCTCGTCTCACAAACTCAGTACTACTGTGTCTCGTCTCTTCTGGAGAGTTTTATGTATCGTTACACCCCTGCTTACAATGATTAGCGGTTATCTACAGAAAAAATATGAATGGTACAAATGAAGTTTGGGAAAGCCTTTCCAGTCTGTTCTTTTGGTTTTGCTTTCAATAAGCAATGGGTACTATTACCTCTGTTCATATCCATGTTTTAAAAATATATTTTTAAAAGTGGACTGTAACATGTAACTGCTTTAACAAGTGTAGACATGTTTGTATTCAGGTTTTTCATTAGAATAAGATCATCTTACCTTGAGAACTGACAGAGATGTAGCCATGTTGGTACAGTCTCATGTAATTACACAAGATGTTACGCTGAGCATTAATTCTGATGTGTTTTTGTCAGGAAAACCTTGGATAATCAACCTAAGGAAACACATCATGGACAGAAGCCAAGTCCTGATTTGTGAAGCCAATGCAGTTCCTGAACCCAGATTTGAGTGGAGCATCGGTAGCAAAACTGTAAGTAATTAAAAGGTTTGGGCCTGAACAGGAAAACAGTGTAGAGTTACACTGTTGATGATGCTTTAAAAGATAACTGCAAACTGTGCTGTGGGTTTATTGATTAAAGTATTTTTAAAATCTTTTATTACAAATAATTATCCTTAGCACCTGCGGATATGCTGCTGGTATGCTTGTTTTTAATCTCTTATCAACTGAATGTTTCCACATTTTGTCACAAAAATGCATACTTTCATTTTTTCTTATGGGATTTTATGTGACAGACAACACAAAGAAGCACATATTTGTGTGAAAGCAAGTAGAAGGAAAATAATAAATGTTTATAGTTCACACATAAAAATCTACAAAGTGTGGTATGATTTTTTTTATTCAGCCTCCATTTCTCTCWTACCCCAAACTAAAATATGGAGCGATCAGTTGCCTTCAGAATTCACCGATTTAATCAGTGGCAAATACAGTATGTATAATTTATTCCACACTCAACTGTTCCATGAGGGCCTTAGAGGTTTGTTACACAACATCAGCAATCAAACACCATCATGAAGACAAAGGAACACACCAGACAAGTCAGCATTAAAGTTTTTGAGGATTTGAGGCAGGGACCTTAGCTACAGAAGATGGCTCTATGTTCGTGGAATGTCACCTCTMTGGTGGGAAAGGAACCTGAGCTGGTGTGTGAGGTTGACAGGTTCCAACAAGATATACCTACACTCACCTCGACAAGCAGGAGATTGATAGGCTGATTGGTGCTGTGCCTACAGCAGTGATCCAGCCGCTTTCATGGTGAAGTTAGAGCTGAGCCAAAAGGCAAAACTCTTGATTTACCGACTTATCTGTATGTTTCTATCCTCATCTATGGTCATGAGCTTTGGGTAGTGACTGAAAGAACAAGATCGTGGATACAAGCGGTCGAAATGAGTTTCCTTCACAGGGTGTCTGGGCTCTCCCTTAGAGATAGGCTGAGAAGCTCAGTCATCCAGGAGGGACTCAGAGTAGAGTCGCTGCTCCTCCACGTAGAGAGGAGCCATTTGAGGTGGTTCATCTGGTTGGGGTGCCTCCTGGATGCCTCCCTGGTGAGGTGTTCCAGGCACGTCCCACTGGGAGGAGGCCCTGAGGAAGACCCAGGACACGGTGGAGGGACTATGTTTCTCAGCTGGCCTGGGAACACCTTGGGATTCCCCCAGAGGAGTTGGCCTAAGTGGCTGGGGAGAGGGAGGTCTGGGTCTCTGCTTAGGCTGCTGCCCCCGCGACCCGATCCTGGATAAGAGGAAGAAAATGGATGGATGGATGGATGGATGCATGGATGCAATCATGCCAGGCTTTGAACATCTCATGGAGATCTTCTCTGGGTGCCAGAGATTAGGTTGATTTTGGAAAGAGTTCAGCTATAAACTTACCAATACATGACCATCCTAAACTGACAGGCTCGGCAGCAGTGACGGCTGGTATAAGTGGGCTAGTAGGGCTAAGCCCTCCCTGGTGTTCACAATAAAAATGTTAAAATAAACAATATTATAAAATTATAATATAATTATATACAATTTATAAATAACAACTTAAAAATAAACAAAATTTAACAATAATATATCTTATTTTGTGAAATTTACAAGGAAAACTGGTGCCAAACCACCTGGGAAGATCCCAGGGTCGTTCTGCAGGGCTAATTATTCACAGCCCGTTTTCATGTAATTTGTGTCCTGGTTCAGAGGCAATGCATGAACACTGTTGTTCACAGGAACTCTGCTTCCAATCTGGCAGATCTTAAGATCTTCAAAAAACATTGGTCTCTAGATGCACAAAGCTAAAAGACTGGGTGGAAAGGCAATGGAACCTTGTTCCACAAAGTACTGACTCAGTTAAATTGAACTCTGCAATGACACATTATTCATTGTTATATGTAAAAAAAAATTCAAACACTGTATTTTCTTCCACTTCGCAGTTATGTGCTTATTTTGTGTTGGTCTATCCCACAAAATCCCAGTGAAATACTTTAAAGTTTTGGACTGTTTTATTACCTTTTTTAGGTTAATCAAATACATTTCCTAGAGAGCTTAACCACAGTGTGTGATGCTGTATTTGTGGAAAATGAATCATGTTAACTAGTTGTATACTCACAACTAGTTATGTACTAACATACACAACTAATTGTGTACTAACACCATGATAATCATCATCATCAGCTTTTCTGTTATTATTTTAATATATACGATTTTTAATTCTACTATATTCTGAGTAAATTTGCTTATTTTGTTATGTTACAATGCTGTTTTACATCACATTTCAGCTCTACTGTAAGTCCATAGACATGCTTTGGAATCTTATCAGGTTGTGCTACAGCATTCTTCACATCTTTAATACATCTGGAGACATATTACTATGTTACTTTATTGAATAATGTAGATAAATGGTAAATGGACTTTATTTTATCCAACCAGGACACTCAAAGCTCTTTACAATCTGTGTCCTCATTTACCCATTCACACAGCACTCTATAGGTCTCTACAAAGCTAACGTACAAATCGTCTATGGATACTAATCAGTGCCAATCACATTCAAACWCTGATGGGACACACATCAGAGGCAGTGAGGGTGAAGTGTCTTCTCTATTCCGAACATCATTTTGAAAAAAAKATTTCCCCTCTCAAAGGCTTAGATTGTTTCCTTTTTATTTTTTACTGAAATCTTGCCAGGAAAAAGACAACTTAAAGAGACTAAAGATCCTTTTGCCCCCCTACTAGATATAAAACATGAATTATACAGTAAATTGAAGTAATTTTTCCACAATGTGTTTTCAGGAGGACAGCTTCAACTACACTGACGGCAAGGCCGTTAGTAAAATCACTGTTGTCCCTGAGGGAAATCTGACAGTTTCCTGCACCGTTACTAACAGTTATGGAGAAGATGTTAAGACCATTGATCTTTATCCTGGTAAGTTATGTTCAGTTTTATCAGAATCAATTTTATTGCCACTGTCAGTGAATACACAGACTAGAAACTTGCAGTTACGAACAACCATTCTTATTACACACACAAACCAAACATGTGGAGAATGGATGCCCATGTCTTTCGCAACATGTTTGCGCTACCTTTTGCAGCTTGGAAATACACACAATAGGAAAGATGAGTTAAAAAAGATGCTTTGATCCTATGTTTACTCATCAAAAAAACCACTCACTCAGGGCAAGGCAGCTAAGGCGAGGGGGAGTGGGGGGTCAAACATATGGTACGGGGTGGGATGCAGCGGAGCCGGTGACATTTCAGGTTAATACTCCGTGCTGGAACCAATCAAAGACTCCCAGAGTCCAAAACCAGTTCTTTTCAACCCAAGAGTTCACCAGAGTTCAGTTCTCTGTCACCACCACCGCGGCCTTCAGACTGGTCCACCCACGGATGATATGGGGGAGGGAATGGGGAATCAAGCCTTTTTTCACGTGTCATCCAGAGAAGTTTTGATAACTGCCGAGCGCCAAGGTCAGCAGCTGCAGGGATCTGAAAGAGAAACATAATTGTTTTGGGACAAGCAACCTTGAATTTACTGCTGCTTTACAGTCTTAACTGCATCTCTGTAATGGTGAAAAAAAATGCAGATGTTTCGAATTTCATCACCTCCTCACCTCGTTCGTCTGAAACGGCACCCAGGTGTAATCCTACATCTTGTGGGCACGCTGCTGAGCTGTGATTCTCATCAGAATCATGTCCAGTTTGTGACTTATATCCCCAGCATGGCAGATTCCATCCAAGGTTCCTGACAGCTTCTCACAGGCCCGGACTGCTGTCAGGATCGCTTTCATTTCCCGATAAGCCAGGACTCCTCCACAGCCGATCAGCAGGAATCCAGTTATCATAAATCCAAATATGTACAAATATTCCACGTCTTCAATGGAAAGCGGCACCAAACAGATGAGGTTCCAGCCCCAGGAACCATTGACCCGACCAGCAGCAACCATTCCACTGGGACAGCTGCGCTCCCCACGCTCCAATCTCAATGTGGAAAAAATAGTATTGATTGCGTTCAGAGACCAGTTGACCAAATCCATAATTCCTTTTGTTTTCGGATGATAGATTTGAAAGGCTTGAAAAAGCTGCGAGGCAGGAAGCAGGGACAGGTTCGGGAGAGAGAGCAAAAGCGTCCGACTCCTCTGAAGGCCAAGCAGACTATTTCCAAAGTTCTAAGTTCAAAATAAACACAATTTCATGACACTTAATAAGAACACAAAAAATTAGTAGGGACAGCTCATGTTTATTTGTATATACTGTACTGTCCATACAATTGATGTATATCTTAGAGGTGTTGTGATACATTATTTGTATTTGACTGTACCAGTACAGTCAAATACAATCTGCACTCAGATGAAGAATAAAAGGTGAGCAGAACTCTCACTTAGGGAGGCGTATCTTTTTCATCCCACTTTACCAAAGTCAAAAGGCCAATATTGTTCTTACCTGTCTGTGCATTCAGTTGGTTGTCTGTGTTAGCAAAAAGTGTGATAATCAAATAGACAGATAATGAAACTGCCAATGCTTAATTATTAGATGAACATCTACAACTTATTACCTTTAGTCAGTTAAATATAAGTTGACCGTCACAGCTAGACAATCTTGGCTAACACAAAAATGGCTATAACTTAGTAAAATATACAGATATTAATCTAAAAAAATAATATTAGTTGAGAGTTATGCCTAATAATACGTCAAGCACCAAACACTCACATCTGTTGTTAAAAATGTGCCTTTAACTATTGGAGTCTGTTATCAGAATGTCTCAAGAACCATATGATGGATCTTAGAAAATTTTTCAGAAAGTAAACATTTGATGTACAATTAGGTTTATATCTGTTTGGACACTGACACAAAGTTAGTTCTTTTTTTCCTGTTTACTGAAACATATTCAAGTTATAGTTATGAATGGCTTGGTTGCTTTGAACCCCAGATGCTGGACTGAGAGATTAGGTTGCAAACAAAACAAAAGAAAAAAAAAGACTTTATTGACAAAGAAAAACAAACGCTGGCGTGGCAGCAAAATTATTTACAAGGATTTCAGGACTATGACACGAGATGAGAACATAAACAGATAGCAAAGATCTGACACAGACTGAAGACAGAGAACAGAATATTAAATAGAACTAATGAGCAGAAACAAGAAATACCTGGGAGAGAAACAAGAGGAACAGGTGAGAGTGGGCGGGGCTGGAGCAAAGACAGGCAGGAGGGGGTAAACAGAGTGTTAAATCAACACTTAGAGTTAAAGTTAACGCTGTGTCCCAGTCTATTTGGCCCTTATCTAAATTGGTGTCAATTTAACGCTTTCCATTGTGTTAAATTTTCTGAGTACAATTTAACTCTAAACAGAGTTAAAAATTAACACTGACTAACACTGTACAGTGTTAAAAACTTAACACTTCAAGTCAAATAACTCTGATTAGAGTAATTATAATTCTAAGCAGAGTTAATGAGGTAGTCCACTGTGGTGACAAATCAACTCTGATTCTCATACTTTTCAACACTGCATTGAGTTAATGATGGTTAACACTGGATGTTCATATACCTCCCATGAGTGTTAATTTGACACTTGACTGTGTCTTTATTTAATCTTTTGCTGTGTAGAGGGGTTTCAAAGACACTACGAGGTGTCATTACACAGCAAATTTGAAAGTAAGTTTAACACTTTAGAGTTAAGATCAACTCATTTTAGTGTTGCATTAACATCACACAGTAATTACTGGATAAGTGTAATGGAGTTGACCTTCACACACCAGGAAGTACCTCTCACTCATGGTGTCAATTTATGACCAATAACACAAACTTAAACTTGATCAACTGATAAACCTGAACAAGAAAACTAACCAGAACAAGTGATTTTTACACTCATAAACTTCTTTAATAGTCAAACATGCAAACACATAATTTCTACAAGATTACCCAGCATTCCTTGCTGTGTAAATACTGGTCTGTCTGACATGAGGTGGAAGAGGGCGGGGCTTTTCAGAATACGTCTTTCAACACTGCATGGTGTCATATAACAACATATTTAAGTGTTATATAAGTCTTAACAGTGGGCGGAGCTTATTTAACACTGTCCAGTGTTGAGACAACACGGAGGAAATCAACACTGTGAATTAACACCAACACTGGGTGTCAGTTTACTCAGCAAGTGTTAAAATAACACTGAGGGAGTTAAATTGACTCTGAAAAGTTTAACACTGACATTTCAACACTCTGGTTTTTACTGTGTAGGACAAGACAGAAAACCAGATTAAAACATTTACACAAACACAGATCATAACAATATAATGGACATGGACAAAAAGTCCAGACTTTCAGCTGTCATTTGAGGGTCTCCACATTAAACTGGATAAAGGGTTTAGGATTTTCAGCTCCATAACATGTGCCACCCTGCTTTTAACCAAAAGTAATTGGACAATTGACTCTAAAGCTATTTCATGGGCAGTTGTGGGAAACTCCRTTATGTCATTCTCAGGCCTGGGGATGATCTGAGGTGTGCTGCTTGCATTTGGAAGATTTTGCTGTGAAGACGACATACTGTCAAAGGAGCTCTCCATGTAGGTGAAACAAGTCATACTTAAGTGGAGAAAACAGGAAAAACCCATCCAAGAAATGGCTACATTAAAAAGGAGAAAACAGCATCTGGTTATGTTCACAAGTTCAAGACTTTAGGCAGTCGCAGTCAACAAAGGGATTTCAACCAAGTATTAGAAATTAATAATTTATTCACAATTATGTAACTTGTCCACTTACGTTTGAGCCCTTGAAAAGAAGCGATTGTGTTTAAAAAAATGATTTAGTTCCTCACATTTCTGTGCAATCATTTTGTTAATGTATGCATGCATACTCTTATTCTTCAAGTTCTTCTGATGCTGTGTTTGCAGTGTGAGTATATAGTAGAAAAGTGTTTTTGTATGTTTGCAGAGCCTTCAGGAAACTCCTCAGACCATATAAAGCTCATAGCTGTTGGGCTGGTGGTAGGCTTGGTTTCTCTTGCTGCTGTTGCTGGGCTGGCCTTCTGTCTGCGGAGAAAATCAAGGTACAAAACTAACCTTTGTCTCAGAGCTGTGAAGTGTGTGTTTATAACTGAGGCTGCTGGTGATGTAGAGTTGACTATAGGACAGTACATGTACAGTAATACATATTGTGTTTGTGTGTTTACACTCATTACTCTGCGTTTGATTTTCTTTCAAGTTTTGCATTGAAGGCAACTGGACTTTTTTTNACCTACATAAGGAGATGAAACTCTGAATTTCCAAGTGACAGCCACAAAATGTTAAAGACAGAGATGATCTGTAAACAGGAGTGAACCAAACTTCCTCCTGACTTGTGCAAACCTCATTATCAACTACAAAACACATCTGACTGCTGTGCTTGCTAACAAGGGTTTTGCCACCAAGTTTTAAGTCTTGTTTCCTGGAGAGATGAAATACATATTTCTCTCTGCAAAATGCAAATAAATTAATAGAATTTATAAAGTGGGATTTTCTGGAAATTTTTTTATATTCTATCTCTCACTGTTAAAACGAACCTACCCTTAAAATTATAGACTGTCCATGTCTTTGTAAGTGGTCAAACTTAGAAAATCAGCAAGGGATCAAATACTTGTTTCCTCCACTGTATGTACCTATGACCTTACCTTTTAAAAGATTACTTGTTGGTGCCAACAGTGTTTGTCTCTGACACAAATATCTTATGTGAAGCTTGAATTCTGTTCCTTATTTGCATGTTATTTTGGATAAAAGTGTCTGCCGAATGACTAAAAGTAAATGTAATCTTTTTCATTCACAGAAGACAAGGAAGTTGGTCAACTAGAGAGAGGAACACTGGAACACCAGAGGAGAATGAAACACTTCAGCACCATAATATCTGATATGTATTTTAACTGCAGTTTGCACAACATTGACTGCATTTGTGTGTAACTAGGGTCAACAAGGCAGAAGACTGGTTATAGCATGTGTTCTACTCTAAACCAGCATGTGAAATTTTCACAGCAACATCGTTGCAGAGCTTGACTGTAGCCTTTTGGGTGGAGTCTAAATGTTTTCCTCATGTTCTCCAGTTATCTCCCACAGACCAAAACATTCATGTTTATGTTGATTGATGACTCAAAATCATCACTAGGTCTGAGTGAGAGTGAATGGTTGTTATTCTGACTCTGTGATGGACTTGCAAGCTGTTGTTATTTATCTATCTCAAGCTGTCATTGGGCAAACAATGACTGCTGGAGATGGGTGTTCAGTTCAAGTTGGGCTTTATTGATCCAGAGGAAATTACGAGGTACTCTGTTACATACATACATACATATATACATACACACATACATACATACATACATACATACATACATACATA